GACGCCCGACCAACAGCGACGATTCTGTGGCTCCCTCATCGACAGCTATGAGTTCAAGGAGGGCGGTCTGATGAAGAAGACTATCTCAGTCAAGTACCAGGGTACCCACCACCACGTCATCTCCTACTACAGTCTCGAGGACGTCGTCAGCGGGAAGTTGAAGCGGCCATTCCAGGACCCAAAGCTAGCCGACATTCAGCCAAGACCGGAGCTTCTGAATGGCTGGAAGGTCAGTCTTGAAGATGAAGAGAGCAAAGACATGCCCCTGGTAGCTGGCTACCCACACCACATCCAGCCCAGCCATGTCCAGCACCACGTTCTTGGAGCTGTTACCCAGTCAATCGGCGCACAGGGCCAGCTCCAGACACATGCTCCTCTCCACCTAACAGTTCCCGACTACTGGCATGGGCCTCAGGTGTCCCAGTATGGCTCTAGTCACCACAGCCCCCAACATTATGCCGCGCCTCCATTCTCGGCCCACCAACCGGCACATCAATACTCCGTCCAGCAGCCTCCCTCGCAGCACTTCACGCATCCGCCATCTCCCCAGCAATATTCTTCCCCACATTCCGCAAGCTCGCAGTACTCCTCACACGCTGCTCCATCCTCGCACTATGCGCCGCAACCACAGTCTGCGCGTCACTACTCTTTCGACCCTCCGTCGGCCACATCAGCGACCTCGTATACTCAGCCCACCTCGGCATACCAGACGCCGCAACCAGCTCCGTACGCTCTACCTCAGTCCGCGGGTTTCGACGCTCATGCCTTGCCCTCCCAAGACTCGCCAGTCGGTCCTCATCACGCTCAGGTCCCCGGATCGCAACCCGACCAACAAAGGAGGGCTTCAGCGCCTGTGGCCGTGCAGCCATTCAACGCGCCGCAATTCCCTGCGGCTCCCCATCCTCACTCTTATTACGTGACGGACCAGAAGTACGCCCCCGAGCAAAAGTACACATCTAACGCGCCCCATGGTTATTAGGGTGCCGTCGCATTGCATCATTTCACACATTTATCGAGATATACCCACGATCTACAGAGCATATACGAGACATTCATGGAGGATGATTTGGTTGCGATACCCCCTTAGCGACATTTCCTTTGGCGAAGGCGGTATTTGTTCAATACCTGCATGTTGGCACCCCGCGGTAACTGGTTACCCACTTTCCTTATGGATACAGTCGGAGTTGGATCTTTCGCTCTCCTTGTTTATGTTACTGGAATTCTGTATACGTGTTTCATTCATTCTGTCTCTTGTGGTGGCTCTAATACCAAAAGCACCTTATTTCCTCTATTCCGCATGGTCGTCTACGATACCTAGTCGCACTGCATTGCATGAATCTCTTCTTGTTCGCGTTGTTCTGCTTCTCCATTACCGCCATACCCTTGTACAACTATAACCCGATGCATGTAGCTAGTGCTCCATAGTAGCAACCACTTAACCCTAAACACTGCGGATACGCGCGACGAATCAAATAAATCAATAACATTATCCAACACTGTGCTTCAATGACCTCACTCAACAAATCGCATGCATCCACCCGGTGCATTATCATACGTTGTTCTCAACGGTTCGGCTTGGGCTGCGCAATCGTACGACTATTCCTGCAAACCTAACCTCGAAACACGATAACTACATGGCTATCCTAGAAATCGACTTCTTAACGACCCGAACATGGAATTCTCACCTCAAGAATGATCACAAAATCATCACTACGCCGCATTCCTACGCTAAAAGACACGGCATAACATCACATGCCGCTGCGCAGTCCAACCCAGCTCGCCGGGGAACCCTCCGTTAATGAATAACGACCATCATCACATCATCGCTATCACATCTCGACTAGCCGGTGCCGCAACGCCCCGTCTGCCGTTATCATTATCTGCATTGCACATCGATGAAAGGATCTCGATTCGCGAGCTGCGGTAGCCGGGCCAATCAGTAGCGAACCTTGGAAGCGAGCAGCAAGGGCCATTGTGGGTTAACAAAGGGATTACTGAACCTGGCATTCTGTGCGAGAATGCTGTGCAGGACGGGGTGGCTTGGAATAGATCCGAGTGGGATCTTGATCCTTAGGACGGGTAAATGTATATACATTGAGGGAAGATGGCGCGGGTTGTTGGAAGGGAGGAGTTGGACGCCTATGTGCTAGTGCTTGGCAATGGCAGTTGAGACGTAAATTGTTCGTGCCGGCGCATCGCTGCGAGTCACCTTTGTGGGTAGACTTCCTATTCGTCGGATCTTTATCCCGCCTATGGAGATGGAAGTTTGCGTTGCATAGAGCTGGAGGGCGACTCGAGGGTGCGATACGAAGGCCGGCGAGTAATGGGGACTCCGCTTCGGGACTTTGCATTCCTCTATTGAGATCGCCATGAAACATCTTGCTTTAACGGGCATCGTGGAGACGAATACGAAGAGTTTCTTTTCACAAAGTACCGTACCTAGCCCTACAGAGTACCGTAGGAAACCGGCTTCGTGTCTTTGGTGATGCCCAGATGTGATGGCCAAGGGCTGATCAGTGATACCTCGCATGATTGAGGAAGTTTCAACAAAGTCAAACCGGATTTCTGGCAACACTGTTACACTTGTCATTGACCGACAATTTGTAAAATGAGGATGACTATACATCTAATGGATCTCGGTGGTTTCGCGGAAATGTCATTCCGCACCTGGGTCCCGACCGGCTCCCGAGTCATAGTATACGTTGTAAAGATAGGAGCTACTCAGTATACTTGTCACTCAAGGGAAGTATCGGACGCAGTGGTGTATGATGCATGATGCATGAAGTATGTGAGTCGTTGTCGTGCGTGAGTCGTACAGTAGTACGATCAACGTGCTATCTTGAGGAGCCGCTTCGCGTGCGCGGGCGCGGCTGCCATCTCGCTTGTTCCTCCCTGCCACCCATTTTTCCCCACCATCCCATTTCTCTTCATCGTGTCATCACCGAAAACCATCGGGGAAAGCCTCCACAGGCCCGTTACCGCTTGTTGCGCGTTCGAAACACTTGTCTTCAATTCATGCATCCTTTACAGGGTGCTTCCACTGCTGGTACGACACGTAAGCCTGGAAACCGGAGATCCCGAGACCTAGGATTCCAATGATTACCGCGATGAAGACCCCGATCATCGTTGCCATCAACATATATCTTCCGCCGCTCTTTCGCTCAAACCAGCTCTCCAATCGAGTACGAGGTTTTGGATTCTGCAGTTCCTCGTAGAGCTCCACCAGTCGGTTGCCAAAGTATGGATACGATAGTAACGTGTCGTTATGCCCATAATGATCCCAGGATTCGAATCTCAGGAGATCATCGTCGAAACCGTGTTTCGCAATAAGCGACGACAGAAGCGCCTGTGACTCACGATCTGAGGGAAACAAGACGTTATGTATGGTGTCGAACACCTCCAAGATGAGCTGTCGCGGTAGCATACACGCTGTCGGTTGACTTCCAGATACTAACAGAGCTTCTTTCAGCATCGCCGTACAGTGGAAGATCTTCAGTACACCTCTTCCACGATCTAGTAGTAGATGACTTCGCAGATCGGTTGTTGCTTCTAGGCCAACTTCAAGCATCTTCCGCAGCTGCTTCGCACTCACAGCAGCGGCTACGCTTGGCCAGTCAACTCTTTCCTTCCCGGATGCGATCGAAGAACTGGGCCTTTTTGGAAAGGCTTCTAGAAGAAAGTCATGCGCTGACACTGTATCTCGCCATGGCAGTGATGAGCTACCTTCCTCCAGAAGATTAGCATGCTCGCGCGTAATCCCGCAATCAACCAAGAACAATATGCTGGCTGCAAGATCCACAGCGCGATGTTGATCCGATATAGCAGGAACTTCTGCATCGCTGGTTCGCTGCCCCACAAAATGGTGCTGGATCAACTGTTCTCGCGTGCTATGAGGCTGACTTTGGATAAGCTGAATCAGGTCCAAAAGGTCGCCGTGCGACCTCAATGCTGGGTGCGGAGTGTATAGCTCAGGTACGTATGTTGCCGTCAAGGTTTTGTAACGAGCCCAAAAAGCAGCCTGTCGCTTCGCTCGGCCCCAGGAACATTGCGCGTCGAAACATGTCGGTTCTCCTTTACAACGGCCACACAGCCGCCACCCCCACAAACACCGGCCCAATTCCTGCAAATCACTGTCGGTCGTAAATCGCAAGGGGAAAAAGTCGACTCCCTCAGCCATATGATGATGTAAGCAAAGACGAACGAGAGCTTGGCTTGAAGCACTCAGCTATGCTTGCTCGAAGGCAGTATTATGCGCTTATATGTACTCACGCTGCGTGGCGGACGATGCATAGCCTAAGGTCAGTGGCTGCAGCTTCATTGGGCGTTGAATCCGCAACGTGCATACTCGTCCTGAGCGCGCCCAATCATCAAGCGGCGCCCATTCGAGTAGCTGATACGCATGCACACAGCCCACGGTTGATCTTTCCGGCTCACCGGTCGCGACGCAGATGTGCGGAGTATGCGGCCTTCTCGTACCGCCTCATAAGATCATTCTCACGCCGGTTATCACCACATATCGAAATTTCCACGCCTGGAATGCTCACGCCGACAACATGGAGACCCCGCGGCCCACACCACCTCAATCGCAAGTTCTGAAGAATGATTCTGCTACAGATTCTGGCTACAGAAGCCCACCAGGAAGCCCTAGTGCTCTGTCAGCCCAAGCGGTAGCGCCCACCCCGAATAGCTCCGCTTCGACGATGCCTCCTCAACAACCCCGTATTGTATCAGAAGCAGGATCTCTTCATTCTCATACAATTCACGGCATGCACATATTCCAACGGACGGTAAGCGAAGAGGTACAGAGCCGTTTTGAGGACGTCATGAATCGCCTTTCTGGCCCTTTGGCTACCTATCTGCGCAGAAGTCGGCATGAGCATCGACCCACGGCTATTCGGCTGATGTTTCTGGGACACGAACAGAGCTCATCTCGGCCTTGGATCGTTGTGCTATGTCCAGAGCTTGTTAGAAAGAGAGCGGAGAAGTTCTTTAAGCAAGACATGGCCCAACGTCTATGCCAATCTGACGAACCCGGCCGTGAAAGCTTCCAGGTGGTGGTGGTCGGTCATGCGCCTCGGCCTAAGGCTGACGAATATGCTAGCCGTGTGGGAACACCCTCAGGTCTTTCAACTGCCGACCACGACAGCACTTCGCACGGCTTCCAGTCCTCGTCCAAGGTTGACATAAAGCATGAAGGCATCTCATCTTCGGCTGCGATAGGAGGATACATTCTAGTCACCAACTTGGACGGCACAGAGACCACTTATGGCTTGACAGCGGGCCATGTACTCCCGCAGACAGCGATTGATACTCCATTGTCAGACGACCAATGGGATGGATCGATGCCCTCTCCAGATTCAAGTGATTCGGAAGATGATCTCACCAGCATCCCAGAGTACAGCGCCAAAGGTCGTGGCCAGAGTCTTCTCGAAAGCTTCATTGGACCCAGAGGTGAACCAGCGTGGACGGGCATGATATTAGCGGAGGCTACGTTTTCTCGTGAGGCCCGAGACAGAGATTGGGCACTGATCGAACGCATTCGTGCTAATGAGGTTGCATCGCTCTACACCGCAATCAGATATAGATCGGTCGTGCTCGGTACGATAGGAGACATGCACCTACAGCCGGCTCAGATACGTTTCAATGAAGGGCATGTGCTTCAGTGCACGATTTCCCGGCATATCTCAATCATTTTGACGCCGTCGGGCCACAACTTCGTTTCGGCACACATACTCACACTAGGTAATGACTCCGCATGTAAGCTACCAAAAGCTTTGCTGACGTTCTGTTCCAAACAGATCCCTCTGAAAGTATACAAGACGGTGCATCTGGTACATGGGTCACTTCCGGTTGGACCCGAAGTCTTGGTCGTCGGATAGGTGGACCCAGTGAGCCCATATCGGCCTACGGCCAGGTAGTGGCTGATGACATCTTTGGCGACGTTTATATGATTCCGCTGAGCGATATAATCGACGACATCAAGGTTCTAACGAGAGCTGCAGCGATAAGGCTGCCAGAGTCTCTTATGGAACTTGAGCATATGCTTTCGAAGAAACGAGGTAGAGAAGAGGCGGATCAAGTAGGCAGCGAAGAGGCAAGCTCGGTGCCTGAGACTCATACAAGCACACATGACAAGGTGTCACGGATGAAAGCTCGTTCTGTCACGAATGACATAATCGACTACCCTCTCATACTCGATTCTGACGTGCCGACAAATTTTACTGACGCAATAGCACATTACAACGCTCTCCAGAGCGAGTCGCCCTGGAGAAATCGAGTAGCATCAACAAGCCATTTCGAGGATGATGACAATGCCGAGGAAGAAGACGAGGTTGCGCATGGCGACGTCGATGCTGCAGAAGAAGAGAACGACGACGACAGCACATCAGATGTCGGACATGGAGCACCTGAGACGAAGATAGAACCGTGGTGGACATCTGAGGAGGATAGGTGTCTAAAAAGAATGAGGAGCGACGGGGCTTCATGGAGTCGGATCATGGAGGAGTTTCCGAACAGGGTCGAACGAAAGGTGAAGGAACACTGGTACAAAGATCTGCGTCATGGAGCCAATGGGGAGAAGCCCTCAGCGACAACATCCACGCGCGCTGGATATGGCAGATGATGGGCATAGCAGGGAAACAGGCAATATCTCATACATGATGGAGGGATGTTCCAGTATCTAGTTGCGTTACTTCAATTGATAGGCTGCTTCCCAATGTGGACAGTTACGTGAGGTAGTGCAGGGGTTGGGAAGTGGCTGGGAGGCTGAACGTCGCTTACGTCACAGCAACTTCCAACGCGCGAACGAGGCCCTGAGGTAGACACGACTGTCCTCATCAAACGAACCTCACTCTATCTTTCTTTCAGTCGGCGGCAATAGGTCTAACTTGAGAGCGATATCAGAAAAGTCGCAATCGAACAAGTGCGCACATCCAAGCCATCGCAGACATGCCGCCAAAACGCCAAAAGACCTCTGATTCGGCGTCGACACCCGATCCCAAGAGGCGTGTCACGCGCTCATCTGCTAGAACAAACACAAGAGATGCGGAGGACTTACCAGACTCACCAATCGACTCGCCCGAGGCCGAACCAACCGTGTCGAAAGAAACGCGCGCGCCCAAGCCTAAGAAGCGTTCACAAAAGGATGCGGAACCAGAGCCAGACGCGCAGCCCGATGAAGAGAAAGACCAAGAACCTCAGAATCGTACAAACCTCACCATCACGCACGACCTCGTCAAGAAACCAATCGAATGCCACCAATACACTCCAACATCATCGTCATCCAGCCCATCACCAACCCTAATATTCACTCACGGCGCGGGCGGCACACTCTCCGCCGACGCCGTAGTAAACTTCTGCACCGGATACTCTTCTTCTCTCCCCATTCTCGCTTTCCAAGGCTCCATGAACCTCAAAGCGCGGACCAAGGGCTTCCACGCATGTATTGATGAGCTGAACTCCAGTCAATCGACTGCACTAAAGGGAGCAAAAGAGAACACGGCTGGATCAAAAACACTGTTACTAGGCGGACGAAGTATGGGTGCGCGCGCTGCTGTCATCGCTGCTACCGAACATCTCGCCTCGCTAGACGACAAAGAAGCAGAAGCGTTGAACTTACAGCTCATACTCGTTTCCTACCCACTCTTCGGCCCAAAAGAAGATCTGCGCGACCAAATCCTGCTCGATCTACCGAAGACTGTCCGCATACTCTTCATCAGTGGCGACGAAGACGCCATGTGTCCCATCGATACGCTGAACGAAACGAGGGATAAGCTGACGGCGAAATCGCAGCTTGTCGTTGTAACCGATGCGAATCATGGGATGAATGTCGTACCGGCTAGTAGGACGCAAAGAGTGGGAGAAGAGACAGGACGATGGGCAGCGCGATGGGTGCAAGGGGAACCTATGGATGATGAGACATACATCGATGAGCTGGAGGGCGAAGAACCTTGGAAGTAGTAGGAGAATGAGTATACAACAATACCATCCCTCCCATCTCTTCCCCTCCCTCAACCTAACCAACGTTCACACACCCCCCTCCCCCTCTCAGCACCCCCCCTCCCCCTCCCCCGCGTCCTCCCATTCACCCTCCACCTCATCACACACCCGTCTAGCCTCTTCCCTCTCCCTCTCAACCTTAACGCCGTCTATCCACCTCATCAAATCCCTCTGCGTCTCCACCGCTCTGTCCCGCCGCTCAAACAAGTTTTCGATATGCTGAAGCTGGAGGACGCGCTGTGCTATTCCATGTGCGATGCTGAGGGCTGATGATGCCTTGTCCACGAATTGCAAAATATCAGGGTTGAGTAGCCGGGCTTCGGTGTGGATGCAGGGGGTGGGGATGAAGCGGCGGGTACGGAGACGGGGACGCTGTGCGGAGGTGGGGTGGGTGGGTGGCATTGTGGGGGTTTGGGGTGTAACTTGGGGTTGTCTGAGACGAAGTGCGAAGGTTGGAGGGGATGGAGTAGTCTGGTGTTGGATGTTTCTGGATGTGGGTGAGGGATAGCTGAGTTCTAGTGTGGATTGGGGATCGATGCAGGCTGGTTGTGGATAAAAAGGGAAAAGTCGAAGCTAAAACTTGGGATCGTGGTGGTTGTGTGCTGGTGGATGTCTCATGCCAACCATGGATTCGTTGTTGCATGTGATGGGATGAACAACTTCGCGCTTTAGATTGGACAGTAACGTATTCACGAAACGTCTCCTAGAGCCACAGGCGAGACATGCATTCAAGATGTCGCAACGCGCTCCGCAGCATCTCCATCCTTTTGCGCCTCGCTTTCCTCTTCACCGTCCTGCCCAACTTCAGACCCCTTACTCTTAAACACTTTGAACTCCTTACTAACAATATCCCCCGTCCCATCACCCACCCTCCTCACCTCCACAACCCCACTCTTCTTCCTCAGCACAATACTCCAAACACCCTCCCCCACCACAACCCCTTTCAGCCATCCCAGGAACTCCGTCGCGAAATTAATACACACATTGCCATCCCAGCAATTCGTGCCCTGACGTACCATACCCGGTATCTCATGCGTATTAAACGTCTGCAGACTTCTCAAAATGCCAGCTTTACTCCGAAAGCCCACGGTGATTTTAGGTACGCCGAGCAAGAAAGACTGGGCCCAGAATTTGAGGAGCTTGCGTTCGAATTTGAGGATGTCGCGGTGTTGTTGTTGGCGAGGGGGAGGGAGCTCTTCGCTTGTTTTGAGTTCGACCCATTGTACCTGCTCATCCGGGTTCGTGGGTTTGGGTGCAAGAAGGCCGTCGACTTCACCGCCTAGGATCAAGCTATGAGGTCCGAAGGATGTGTGAACGATGGAGCAGTGTTGCGCGTGGTTCGATACGACGCCTTTCTGGGACCGCTCGATCTCTGCTCGTGGTGTGTTTTGAGGTAGGGTGGGTATGAGTGCGAGTTTCTCAAATTTGTAACCCCAGTATGTCATCATTTCGCGCGATTGCTGGTCGGGGTGCTGGTGACGGGGAGGTGGGCGCGTGCTTTCTGCTGCGCGGTCGGCGGCTCGGGAGGGGAAGTCTTCTTCGATGTAGATTGTGTTGTTGTGGCGGGTTGCGAACATGCTGAATTCGGCGAAGTTGTCGAAGGGGGCGGTCATGATCTGGGTGTTGTTAGGAATTGATCTTGAGGAAAAGCAGCAGCAAGGTAAGAAAGCTGGATTCGCTTACCTTACTATGTCTTGTGCCGGCCTGCTTCAACATACCTTGGTCATCATGCCTCGCCAGGTCATGAAGTCGGCTTTAACTTCCTCCTTGCCCGTCTTGTCTTCCATGAGCGCCCTCAGCAGACTGTCCAGATGGGGATCTTCCTTGTCTTCATAGTGTTTGAACGTCTCGAAGCCGTCCTTCAGATCTGCGCCCATTGGAGGTGGTATGTAGTAGTTGATGCCCGACTCATCATGCTGGTACTCGTGGTTGTCGTCGTATGAGAAATGTGCGACTTCGCGAGGGCGCTTTATCTTGGCCGACGCACCGCGGAAGCGGTTGACAGGCTGTATCGAGAACCGATGAACTGGCGTATCAGGCCCCGGAGCCGCGCTCTTAGCAGTCGGCATGTCTGTATTCGTCGCCGTAGTCGAGGCTGGAGCAGCTGCTTTCGGAGGCGCGCGAGTTCTGGGTCGTTTCCGAGGCGGCGATCGGTCCTTCGTGTCCGCCGGTGGGCTTGGCGATTGCGCAGGAAGATCCGTAGAAGCCATGATGTAGTTGTTTGCTGTGGGTGTCACGAAGACGCGCCTCAGGTTTCGCCGCGGGAGTGTCGCAATGCCAAACCCCAGCCGCCCCCACCAAACCCTTGTACCTGACTAGCTACGGCGCGCCATTCATCCCACCAAACCCAAAACACCATCGACATCCAACCTCACTCAACATCCCGCCCTACACCTCTCCGAACAAAATACCTGTTCAACCCCATACCCCCATACAACCAAACCACCATGGACAACCGCGCAATCCGCCTCCCCCCAACAACCCGCCGCAACATCTTCGCCGCCCACACCGCCCAACAACAACAGGCACAACCGCAACAACAACCCGCGCGACGCCAGAACCAAGCCGCACCCTCCATCCGCCCCGACAGCCGCGAAATAGAACAAGACATCTTCATGCAACCCACCGAAGACGAGTTCGTCGAGCGCGACGACATCGGTGAATACATTGTCAAAGCGCCGGCGCCTGTGTACAGGGAAATGGGTGTGGGCAGTGAGGGGGATGAGGAGGGTGGTATGTTGATCCCACTCCCATTCCCATTCTCCGATCGAGAAGACGGAGACTGGTGTGAAATGGGTATAGGAAATGCTGACATGTGCATGTGAACAGAGCAAGAAAACGAAATGATACAACTCTACGGCAAGACAAACGCACAGTGGGATGCTGTTGCTGTGGAAGAAGAGATTCGGGCTGCGTTGAAGAGTAGTCTGAAGAAGAAGGTGGCTAGTTTGGAGGATGATAGGTGGATGTTTGAGGGGGACGGGGAGGGTAGGAAGTAAGCTGGGGTCTTCTTGGACATGGGCATGCGGATTTGGGGGTTTGAGGGAACACGGAGGCGTTTGGATTGTGATACCCTGGTATCTGGTTGTTGGAATTGAAGTTGCTCTGAAATGGACTGATATCTTTCGAATCGTTAAGTGAGGCCTGTATGCCTTCGATGTATTCTTATGTAATAGAAGTTTGTGGATCGTGCCGCGGGGAGGTAGTCAGTGTGAGGTTCGAGGAGCTTCGTAGGACTATGAAGCATGTAGCCGAAGACATGGTGTCCTCAGACTGGTGTTCTCGAGTGTGTCAATGGTACATGATGACTACGTAGCATCCGACAACAAGCAATAGTCCAACGCAAAAACATTGAATACATCCCAGGTACAAGATATCAATGACAAGTCAAAATGCAAGAGTAATCAAGTTCATTCGCGGACTTACGCTCATCATAGCTGCCGCATCTACTAACCCCCCCTCCTCAATCCCACCACCAGCCTAAACGCCCACCAAAAAAACAGAACCTGGGTATCAAAACACATTCCTAAACGCCTCTTCCCCTCTCGCGCCCGCCCGCCCACCAATGCCGCCCGAAACTCCGCAAAACCTGAAGCCGAATTAGTAAAACCGCACCAATTCATGACACCCACAATGAAACTTACCACTCAAACCGCATCCTCATACTCATCCCCACCATACAGCCTGCCCGCCCAATTGACCGCAGCCAACACCACCAAAACCCCTTTGTTCAGCTCCTCGAGCTCCGCCTCCTCCTCCTCGCCCAGCGTCTCCTCCAGGTGCTGGTACATCTCGATGCGCTCGTACAGCTTGCTCGCCATCTCCTCGAGGCCGCGGAAGAACCAGTAGAGGCGCTTCTGCGCCACGGAGTCGGAGGCGGGCGGTAGGTGCGGGAACTCCGCGAGGGAGGGGACGTGGAGGTTGGAGAGGTTGATGGTGAAGTTTTCCATCTTTGGTTGATAGAGATGCGGGGGTGAGGAGGGAGGTGGGTTTGTAGTGGTAGTAGTAGTGGTGGTGGTAGTAGTAATTGAGCTTGTTGTGATGATGGTGATGGGCTTGTTGGTGCTGGTTTGGGGTGTTGGGGAAGCTGGTTTTCGAGCTTTTATGTGGGCGATTTGGGGGTGCCAAGACTGCGTTTGGCGACGGTCTGGCTTCGCTATTGTTGAGCGCTTTACGCGTAGTGACGGTGACGGCGGTATTCAGCGAGGCTGGGAGGACTGCCTGCTCCTATTGAGAGGGAGGCGAGCTAATGTTTTGGTGTAGGATATCCGAAGTGGGGTATGCGTCGACGAGGGTGAAGTACATACTTTACCCCGACGCCCTCATTATGGCGACGCCTTTCGACGAGCGCTTACACAGTGCGATGTAGCTACCGCCCTCCCCCGAGACACCGCCGTCTTCCTCCTAACCTACGATCGTATACGCCTCAAGCCGCTGCGACGAGCGCCCCGACCGTACGACGAGACCGAGTATACAAGGTGGAGGCACAACAGGGACATGTGGAGGCACACAATGGGAAGGAGACTATACGGCGAGACAATGGGGAGGTTCTTGTACTCAATTACCAGCCCTTGGGTTGGGGGTATGTCGCAGTCGAGTCGGACAGCGGAGGAGGCAGCGCCCTGTCCGCCAGCGACGAGGCTGACAATCCTTCTTGCCTTGCGCCCTGACGCCAATGGCAGCAGCTCTAGGCTATCGTGCGACGGACGGCGTAGTCGGACTGATACTGAAGTTGAGGAGAGGCGGAGATGGTTGACGGACAATGGACAACAGACATGGCAGGCGCAACTCAACTGGAAAAGGGGCAGTCCAGTAGCTACAGGCCAGGGCCAATTCCTGATCTCCGCGTACTTGCTGGCTTCCCGAGTCGCATAGTCTCCTGATGAGGGTGGTGATGGTCCCGTCGCGCGGTTTCCCTGACCTGCCTTGTGGAGTTGGGCACTTGGTCGCGGACAGCCAAC